GCGAAAGGAATTTCATTAATGTCACTGACATGATCTTGCAGCCCTGTTGCAGTGGAGATACTGACACCCGATCGAAACCTATGACCCACTCCTTCGTCAGCAGTCTCACCTTGCCATTTCTTCCCATGCTTTTGACTGAATTGAGGAGCGAAACACCCTCTGCACCTGGGTGATGAGGAATAAATGGAGGATTCCAATCTTGTGGTCGGATGAATCTGTTGATCATGAGATCAACCGCATCACCATCACTGGCTCTGATCTGGTCACTATACTGAAAGGTATGGTCTCTAATTCTGAAGGAACAATGCGCATGATGCCTACAATCAGCACTATGCCCAATTCTGACAATGATTTCTTTGAAGATCAAACGCTCAGGAAAGGAGTGCGCCATGTGGAACGGATGTCCACTGTTGATGGCTGAGTCAAAGACTGAAACTAAAATAGAAGACCACTCAATCGAATTATGTTGAACCAGAATAACATGTCCAACAATCCCCGATTCCATCTGGGTTGGCTGTGGGGACACATGAATCAGTTCAATTTCCGCAAGTTGGTAAATTTCGTCAATCCATTTCCTTCGGAACTGTTCACGCCAGTTCCAGAAGTCAGCCATAAGTGCTATTTTTCGGCCATACAAGCATTGAAGCCGATCAATGCCTGGAGCAACATACCATGAAGTGTGCAACTCTAAACTCTCCCTGCCAAGAGAAAGCGTTTGCATCCCATTCGTGATAAATGTCTTCTATGACCTGCGCCCATGCAGGCAGCAAATTACCATTGGGCTGGAATTCTGCAGCATTTGGATTGAACTGAAATGCGTCAGCCTCACATGAGGCTTCACCTGGAACCCCAATCGCACATTCAGCAACATCATGACGCAAATCAGAAACTTGTGCCGCAAAATTGAATGCCTGCATCAGCACTGCATCCTCAAGATCATGAGAGTCCTCATCATGCTCCTGCAAAGGCAAGGACCTATCAACTTCATGTTCATGCGCAGGCTGATCTTGCTGCGAGGAGCTGGTTTCTACTTCCTGTGATGTTTGCCGAGCACTTCCGCTACTACCAGTTGGGCTGATCTGAAGAACACCATCCCCTGAACCCAGCCTAACTGTGTGAGCATCTGGAAACACGTTTCGACCCCGCCTGACAATGTAGCTACCCCCTTGCAAAATTGTCGAATCAAATCTTTGTACAATGTTTGCAGCACTGGAAAATTGATTGACAACTAAAGCAGTATGGCTAACAGCACCTCGAGGGTCATTGGTAACCACTGTCGACACTACGACAGCAACATGCTCAGGTGGCATTGCTTGCGAAACGACAATGTGAGCAGCATGAGACTGCCACGATTCCTTCGGAGGCACTGGATCAACAAAATGCAAGTCAAATGCTGCACCTCTGGTGAATTGGTCACGCCAGGGGAAAATGATCTCACTTTTCCACCAAGAGCTATCAGCATCAAGTCTGCAAATCCTGGGCGACTCACGTAGGAAAGAATCTCCATTGACAAACCAGACCATAACGTAAAGTGTAGGTCCCTCATCTGGATTTTCAACAACTGCGTGTTGGTCAAATCTTTCCTGTAGTGAATTGAGCCAATCTGGTGGGTATGCATCATCAAATCGCATGGTCGAGTTTGCAGGATCTGTAGGAATGCTCACGGAGAGGGCATCGGCTGGAAACCCAGGGATGATAGGTCGACGATAGATAGCCCCTCCAATGGCAGCCTGCAATTCAGATCTAAGTCTACTATCTGACATAGACCTCTGGAATGCTAACTTTGATTCCACGTTTAACAACAAAACGGAAAGCATTTCCAGCGCGAACATTGACCGTTTGATCATGGCGAATAGCAATATGTCCCATCCAGAGAAGGCATTCATTTTCGATTTTTTTCTGGTGGACACAATTCAGAGTAGCACATCATGGTTGCCATTGATCTGATGTCAAGTCTGTCCGAAACAACAATGGCGATTGAATGAGGACGACCTTGATCTCTGTCAGAATCAATACAAAGTAGAAACAACCGAACGAGAGAACGGCTCAGGTTGCTGCTCAATGATGAATTGTTCTTGAACAGTTGAGTCAACATCTTCGGGAGTCGGAAAAACAATCGCAAACTGTGCAAGAAGCGCAAGTTCTGCTCGATCCGGCCAAGCTGCCAGCAATTCCCGTTCCCAGCAATGAAAGTTGCTTGACAAGACAACAACTCTAGAAAACTGACATCGAGACCATCTTCTCGGGTTGCTGAACCACGTTTCAATCCTCAATCCCTCATCGATTGTCCGACCAGTTTGAGCCATAGTTTCGACCCATTTGTCCCAAAGATCCTGAACCCGCATCGGTTGATCTCGAAGATCTGAGGGCTCATCAACAAGCGTGTCAGGATTGTCAACTTGCGATCCAACTGCTTGAACAAATCGAATGGATTCGTCGGTGAGACTACATTTTGCATCACTGGGGCCTGGCCTAGACACCTTCTGATCCGCAAAAGCTCTTCCATGAGAACTATATGCATGAGTCACTGAATCAGGTGTTTGCATGTATTGCGCGCTTTCAATAAGCTGCCTTTGCATCATCATGACATCGTCATCCTCTGCCTGGGTCTCAGAGGCAAGACCCCTGACTTCATCTTCACCAAGGAGACTTGGTGACACCCCTGACTCAGCATCGTCATGAGACATTTCATCAAAGATCTGCTGGTCAGTGAAGCCACGTTGGGTCATGTCCGAAATGTCAGTTGTAGGGCATGAAAATCTTTCAGAGGGCGGCACAGCTATGCGAATGTAATCACCATGAGAGATAGTTTTCCTGTCCAAGTCACAGTCTGGCCATCGCCTAGAGTTTATGAAGACAAGACACCTGCCGCTCTCTGCACGACAGTATCTAATATTCGCCTTGCAACGGACCTCATTTCTGTGTGCATTTCTCGAAATTGGTATAACTTTTCTGACAACTGTTAGACCGAGTCTGAAATTTGCCTCAATTCGATGTGCATGGTATTCAACGTCAAGCAAAATCAACCTGTCACCTGAACCTGGGCGAACGTCATCTTGGACATGAACGATAGTTGGCACATTTTCATGCCCAATGTCTGGCGGCTGAATGACCACTTCGTAAGCGTCTACCAAATCAGACCTTTCCAGTGCAAAATGATGAGCAATCTCTGACATCATGTCCTCATAGCTATTCCAGCTTATGAGTGCGTGAACAGGGTGATCATCGAGATGAAACAAAAGAACGTCCTGTCTGTTGTCTTCAGAAGATGGTGGATGTATGTCCGTCGATCCAATACCATCACTGGGTGAATATCCGTCTGACTCAAGCTGATCATTGGTTTCAGAACCTGCATCATCGTCACCTTGATAAGCCAGTCCTCCTTGAAAAGCTTGGATCATGATCTCTTGCTGAAAATCAAAGGGGTTGCTGAAATCTCGTCAGAAACTAGGATCCAGCTCATCTAAAGACTGTATCTTCTCTTTTTGTTCAATGTAGGAATCAACCATACTGAGTTCATAACTGACTGGAGAGCTCAACACGGCCACAAGGGACGGCGGAGCACCATCCAGTACATGAAAATGATTCTTGTTTTTGGAAGACCCAATGGGTACGTTGGCAATATCTTGAAGGACACCTCTGACATTGACAATGCTGTCGTCATCTCTGCGCTCACTGACTGCAATTTTGAGACATGTTCCATCTTTCACAAAGAAACGGTCTCTGCAGATCTTGACGAGTTTGCTAGACAATCTAGTGACTGCTTCTAGGCCAGGATCTGACCTGAATTTTTTGTGCATAATGGAGGTTTGGTCTGCAGATTTGGTAGCAAATGTCAGCGTGCACGAACATTACATCAACATCGCAGTGCGTTGTGCATCACGCGTAACATGAACGTTATCATCCTAACCCCACCCACCCCACCCACCCCTACCCACCCACCACACCCCACCCAACCCCACCCCGACCCACCCCCACACCCCCCCCACCCCACCCACCCCACCCCACCCCACCCCACCCCACCCATCAACGTAGCACTGCGTACCGATGTCAGCGTGCACGAACAGGATTCATACCGTGTCTCAACTTGAACATCAACGAGAATCGAACGAACAGTTGGTCGCACAGTAACAATGATCTCTGCAACACAGCCTCGGCTGACACATCTAGGGAAGCATGGTTGGACCACGTTGATTTGAGTCAAACAGTTACCTCCAATGTCATCTTTCCACATTGCAAGTACTTCTTCATGCCATCTGTTGGAGTTGGCACTGAGCAATAACACACTGGACTGAACCCATGATCAATCAACCAACTGAGGACTGGCACCTCATGATCAAGCCGACTGTCGTCGACATCCAGCAGTTTTGATGAAATCAACGCAAGGACATCAGGGATCCAAGTTGGCATAGAACATGCCGAAGATGGTTCTACCACAAAATTGTTGGGATTTGAAATCTGCCGCATGAGATTCATTTGTTTTTCGTTCCAAATTGCCTCCTCTGCATTGTCTTCGCAACATCTAGAGAAATCACAAAATGGGTATTGTAGATTCAAGAGTTTCCTCCAGGAAAACCTTCTGCTTGGTGGTTTGGGATGATAGTTCCATGGCTTTTCAGTCCAGTTCTGCAAAACATCATGTGCAGCATACAAATGATACAAAACTTGCTCATCTTCCAGTCCAATTGCAAGTTCAATATAATCATCAAAATGAACACGCAAGGATTTGCGACGAACACTGAGTGGTTTCTGAGAACTACGCAAATTGGAATTGGCTGAAGCATAGGAAAAACAACTGACACCATGATGTTGCAAACGGGATTCAATCCATTCCTCTGAGCAATGATTTAACACTTCACCTCTTAGTTTCCACGCTGAGCACAATGATGACAAAGGACACATATAGTCCTTCTCCCATGTCACAGAGTGTCCATTGGGAAACATGCATGGCCAGGCCTCATGAGCACCATTCTGACAAACTGGATACTCACGGCCATGTGTCACTGTCTCGCATTGGAGACAGGCTTTGCTGGCTCCACAGATCTTGGCCTCTTGTTGTGAGGTGGTGCTTCCTTGTCTTCGTCCGAAACCTCTTGGATTTGAGTTTCGGCTGCTGTTGTTTGGAGACCGAGTGGTCCTGCACAAGCATTCAGAACCTCTTGGAGTTGGTCTCTCAACTTCTGTTCCTCGGAGTCCACCACATTCTCGTTGCTTGCGTCCTCGGTCTCTTCTTGGATCGGTTGGGGTATTGACAAATTAATTGCCTTCCTTGACAGTGTTGTCGCTGACCTCTTTGAGAATCCGCCGAGATGTTTCTATCTCTTCTCGAGCTCGACTTGCATGTTCTGATAGTGTGGCTTGGTGGACGCGATAGCTCTCGAGCTGCGCCTCCAAAACCTTGATTCCTTCGCTTACATGCTTTGTCCATTGTAGCCGATGCTCCTTTTTCGCATTGACTGCATCTCTCAATGCTTTTTGGGCATGATCCAGGTTTTTTGTCGCAGCATGCAGCGATTTGATGTTGTTGCGGCTGTACTCCTTCTCTGCTTTGTCCAGAAATGCCTGAACATCCGATGGCGTTTCTTTCTCTTTGTACGCCTGGCGCAGATGTACTGCCATTTCCTGCATAGTCGAGCCCTTGCCAGACTGTGCTGTCTGAAAGGGCGAGGCTCCAATCTCCGGAGTCTCCCAAGCTGGCCAAGGTGGCAAGGAGGGCATAGCACCCTTTCCTGAACCAAAGGGACTGAAGGCCAACTCCCCTTTGGTTTTTCCCTTGCCTTTCCATTTTCCTTTCCCTTTGCCTTTTGCCTGACGACTTCGAGGAGAGTAGGCCATCTGTTGAGGTTGCCTTGCTCTCGAGAATGAGACGAGTCACGCCCTGTACTTTCTGCCCCATCCCAATCGTCCCAGTTTGGCGAATCTTTCCATTTTTCCCAACTGTTCTCCCAATCTTCCCATGACTCGCTCCATTGAGCTCCACCACCGTAAGTCTTTTGCTTCGGTGTGACATCGTGTTTGACGCCTTGAGTCCCGTGACCCCAGCACACAACACAAAGGTTCGCCGACTTTTTGTTTAGGCGCCCGCACGGGCAAATCCACGGATAAGCCTCTTCCGTAGCCATTCTGGAATTGATTGCTGTCGTGATCCTGCTGATGAATGCAGAATCCTGAGAATGATGTTTGAGGAAAATGTTTCTGACCCGAGCCAGTGATGTCACTGACAAACAAATTTCCCCTTTCTTATGTAAATGCCACTGTCTGCGTGCTGCCACCCTTCGGCGTCTGTCTCTCCGCCTCCAGGTGCTTGAACTTTGTCTGCGCAGAATCGTGCAAATGCGAAAAGGCAATGACCAAAATGAGAAAAAGCAGAAGGAAAGAGCACATCCACAATCTCAAACAGTCAAAGTCGTTGTAAAGCAACAATCCGGAAACAGAGACCTTTGCGCAAAATTGTAGCAAAAATTGCACGGTCGTCGGCGCCCGCAGTGCCAGAAAGTTGAAATCAAAATTGGGTAAGGTCCGGAAAGTTCCGCAACGCTAGAGGCCCAGTTAAAGGCAGCTAAAGCGAGCACAAATAAAACCACCAGAAATATCAAACGGGTTTTGGCACAGGAGAACCCCAGAACCTGACCGGTAGACAAAGGCAATGATCAAAGAAAACCCGCGGGAATGAACCAAGGAGCAGACCTACCACTGAAAATGGGGCGGTTTGAGCCGATACCTTGAATCTATATATTATCATCTTACTCTATATTATGGGCCAATGGGATCCTATGGCTATGCTACGCTATGCCTCAAAGACGACGGGAGGATTTGACTTCATTGACGCGCAGATCCCCATCGAATATGCCCCTTGACCTCACAATCCATGGACTATAACTAGTTACCCTAGTTATAGTGGGAGATGTAGACATAAACTGGGATGATCCTGAAGTATTACATTATCATACATTATCACACATTATCATACATTTGCATACATTATCATACATTATCATACATTATCATACATCTGGATGTAAATCCAGAGATTGTATGTAGAGCATATGACTGGAGAAGACTGGCTGGGGTGATTCTCACTTAATTGGCTGGGGTCCACTTGAGAATTGAGAACTTCCCTCATCATTGCTTGGGCTAGTGCATTCAGCTCATTGAGCAATTCGGGGTCTGGATGGAATTAGATGGACTTGTGTTGATAAGTGCAAGGGACCTTGTGCATTTCTGTGATGCCGGTGAAAACATGTCATGTTACCCTATGCTTCTGGAGATGATGGAGATGCTTGGGAAAGAGATACACTTCCTCCCTTGACTGAAGTCAGATTTGCTCTCACCTGATGTGCAAAGGGATTGTTTCAGAATCGTTTCATGGAGGTGTGGGGTAAACAAGGAGGAATTCGGATCATTTTTTTCGACCTGCGACCTATCACAAACCCCCGTGGCAGAGGTGCTCCACGCCTCCAAGGCCCGAAGTTTGAAGACCGAGGAGGAGATTGTGGCCATTCGCTATGGCATCAAAGTCGTCGAAGAGCGCCTTGATGAAATGCTGGAAATGGAGACATGGAATGGGAGAAATACGGCGTGGGTCAAACGATGTGAGCAGTGATTATATGACCCACAGATTTTTGCTTTGCTTGAGATGTAGTATCAGACCATGGCAATAAGAGTCCAAATTTGGAGAGTCCATATTTGGAGAGTGCATGATGTCATCATGCAATAGATGAGTCATTGGGGATGCTCATGCACAGGATGTCCTTCGTCTACTCAGAATCGTTGGAAGAATGGTTCGTTTGGATTTAGGCAAACTTGTTCGGGTTTTCACTGATGCGTGATTTTGGTTGTTGCCTCCCTTTAACCTCAAGAATACTCAAGCTTTTGGTAAGATATGATTTCAGTCCGATGTTTTGCGGATTTGATCATTGTTCGCATGATTGAGCAAGAATACTTGTTTCATGAACCTATTTGCTTTTCCGGGTCTTCGTTTTGAGAAGATAATAAGTGTTCAAAACATATATGCCTAGTTTCAGATCTGCCTCATTCCAGAGCCTCTGCACAGCAATGCGAGAATCTCTCTTTGGCATTCTTGTTTAAAGTTTCTGACCGCCAAGGGGAGTGCATCGTCTACGCGATGCCTTGTCGCAGCCAGAGGCCAATGTGACTGAAAATGAGGTGGGGCGGGCGGCAACCAACGTGGGACGGATGGTTCACTTTCACATCTGCGTGTTTCCAACCCGTGTGTGAGAGCCCCTTGTTTGCCCATGCAGTGCACGTGTAGTAGACCTTCCAAACTGCAGGTTTGGAGTATCTTGCATTCAACGGCCGCTTGGTTACATGGGCAGTAAACGCATGGTTTGGCAGGTGGAGATCACCAAATTTATTTCCAGCAGTGACAGAAGTTGGATCTTGCAGAGGTTTGAGCGTTGTTGGTTTGATTTGCTGAGGTCATTGCTTGTGACGGAGAATACGTGGAGACGCGGCTCATGAATTCCGGACCTAAAACAAACCCATGGATGCAGGAACCTGTGCGAGTTGTGTGGGTTTCGGGGTGCGGTTGAAGCATTGGGCAGGGGGCCATGTGGTGATTCAAATGGGCAGGCAATACCATCATATACCCATACATATTTAGTCATAATATCCATAAGGGCCGACCCACGCGAATCCAACGGTTTTTGGTTTTCAAGCGAATGTTTTGCCTGAAACCAATGCGCAATTATGTGTGTCTCAGGTTTCCATTTTACAAAATTGCCACGTTTGTAGTTTAATGTTGGCCCCAAGGTCAGCATTGTAAAAATTGTTCGCCTCAATGTAAGTCTCCCCAACTGGTTCGACAGTTTGCAAAGTGGCGAGGCAGTGTCTTTTTGAAAAAAACAATTTCTCCTGTTGTTCTCGTGCCACGGTCAGGAGAGTGGCGCCCGTCGCATCAACGTGGGGGAGACCGTTCAGTTGGATACGGATGTGGTAGGACCGTTTGGCCACTTGCCTGATCAATTTTCTTGAAATGTGGTTGAGGGAACCATGGCAGTTGAAGTGAATTATTGCGTTTCGAGTTGGGGTCAGAAGGGTTGCAAATCCAACGGGAATTTTGCTTTTGCTTTTTTTTTTTTAAATCGTGTTTGCTCCTTAGTCTTTGCACGTTTCCCCTGTTTGTTTTTGCCGTTCACTGTTCAATTTTAGTCGGTTCAAATTGTTACAAAACACTGTTAAGGTATGTTAAGGTTGCCAGGTGTTTTAGCTTCTGATTTTTTGGTTAGGGTTTCAAAAATGAACACCAAACATACTCGGGTTTGACGCAGTCGTCCAGTTTGATGACAAATTCACAACCTGGCCACTTTTAAGTGTTTCATAGTTGTCCAAGTTTCATCAAGTTTCCATGCCTGGCAGATCAATGACAAAGAAATATCAAGAAATTTGCTGTATGACAACGTCATGAAAATCGCCTTCAATAATCGCAGTTCAATGCAGTTCATCATTAGCTAGTAGCGACCCCACCAACTGACCTCCAAGATTCCCCTGTTAATTTTATTGGATTTTGTTGGATTTTTGCGTTTTATCTTCACAAGGACACCACAAATCCAATAAAAACCACACTTTTAGTGGGAACTCCCATTTTTGGACCCCAGCGTGCCATGACCGAGACGTGCCAGGTTACTACGTGGATTTTTCTCGAACCTTCACCGCAGGGTATGGCCTGCCAGGATTTCAAGCCACGGAGAAGCAGAAAAAACACTACAAATTGGCGCTGGAGCGGCGGTTGAGTTGTTAATGGCTGATGTGGAGAAAGGCTGCGGTACAGTACTGCAATTGGGATAATTGGTATACTTGCGATCCAAAGAAAGTGATACCGGCACCAATTGGCACGACATTCATTCATGAAAGACCAATCGTATGGCAAAAGGTGTGAAGTGAATTGTGGAGTCTGGATTTTCTGGCAGAACCAACGTGGAGAAGAGGACTAGGGGTCTATCCTTGCAGATAATCAAAAATTCCAAGATTATTCGAGATCGGGACTAGCTCTCCCGCCAGAGGTAAGTTGACACCATATGCTTTCAAGGATCCCAGAAATAAGTAAGCGCGCAGCATCAGAGGAGATGGTTAAGCACAACATGGAGCTTCTGATCCCTGGTGCCTCCTTTGAAAACGCCACCTTTAACGTCACTTGGGCAGCATCACATTGCCATAGTCCTGGGCTGTTCATGAATCAACTTACATGAAGTATTAAGTGAAACGTCAAGATATTTACCATCCAATAATCAACATGACTGGCTGGGAACCTTCAACTATAATTAGACTCTAATGACCAGAAGGCATATGATGTGCATGCATGATCGATAAATACATGTGTGTATATGTATATATGTATATATATATATGTATATATATATACCAGCAGCAGCCTCAACCCAGAAAAAAGAAGGTTTTATGTTGTGACCTTGTTTTTTAAGGTTGTCAATTCAGAAACCCGGTTTTCGATTTTTGGTGATTTTGGGGAATTCACAATAAGTGACATTATCATAAGATTCATAAACCTACAGGCTTATAAACCCTATGGATCTGATCATGTATGTTGTTTTCCTCCATCACACCACCCTATCACCCACTTTTCCCGCCACGTGCTGGCTCAACATCCTGACGGAGCACATGGATGCTCATGTCTTGGCCTGAGATTGACCTGGACATGGTGGTGAACCACTATATAAGATTGACCTAAATATACAATATATCGATCATATATATATATATATATGTGTTTCTTAAGTTAAACCCATAGCTTTAGATGAAAATATAGTTAAGGGCCAACTGAGCATCCTTTCCCCAAAAGAAGCCATAAACCAAAAGGGCTATTCTGCTTCCCCTGCTTCCCCTAACGCGTTGCGAATGGCTAAGAAACTACGTTGGATAACCCTTAAGGACGTTGTCCTTGGTGAAACGCGTCTGGCCAACCTGCTGGGTCAGCCAATAAAATCCTCTTCTAATTGAACTGACATCGACAAAGTATTCAACGCCCATTGGCATCGTCGGGATTGGAAATACAAAGTGAGAAACTGGTGGTGAAGGTAATGGCCTTTCGGCGCCAATGGAAAGCGCCGCAGCTTTCTCAAATAGGTCAGCCCAGCGAGCTCAGAGTAAAGCCTCAAAAAGAGAAGGCCCTGACTTGCCAATCTCTGCGCACATTGGGATGGGATGAAGAGCCCCGAGCGATACAATCCGCCCAAGCAATCATTGATAGCGAAAACAGCTTCAGCCTGGAATTGGAAAAGCCAAGGACCAAAACACCTAGGGAACCGTTAGAGTTCAAACCCCTCTACAAACAGAAACCCTTCACATGCTGGGGCCCCACCAAAAACAGAAAACAAAAACTTCCAAAGCAAACATAAGCAACACATTTCAAGTACAGAACATCCTCTGTTTTGCCGATCACATGGCGTGAACAGTAGTCACCAAACCATTTCAAGATCAGTCGTGTGAAGTCCCCTTTGCTCCAAGTTCCATCGGGGCAATCACGGAAACCTGCCTCAACTCCCAACAAGGATTTCGTGATCTTCTTGTGGTAAGGGCTTTCTCTATTTCGGCGACAATAGTCCTTGAAGTCTTGAGTGAGCACATCAAATGACTCATCAATGGTTCGATCGATCAACTCCATGCAAACGCAAATGGCACTGGATGCAAAATACTTCCCCATGCCACTGTGAAAGTTGTGGAAAAGGTCAAAACACCAAAGTGTTTCATCGGTACCATCCACCCCAAAAGGAATTTGCAACAGCGGGGATGGTGTTGAGAATGGCCGCTCCAATCCAACCGTTTGCAGCCATGCTGGGGATCTCACACCATACTCTTCAAATGGGAAAGGCTGGTCACAGTCTTCCCTACCAGCGAAACACAAATGACAAATCCCTGTGCACGGCTTCTTGCTGGAAGCCCGAGTTGGCCTTCGTGAGAAGGATCGTAGGAACATTCCACTCTTTGTCAGGAACGGTGCATCACCTTTCACACCCACACAGCAAATAAAGAAACGCATGCCTTTGACAACCACCCCTCTCTCAAAAAGGTGAGCAAACTCTTTCGCCTGGATGTCCAACATATGATACAGTGCCTCTGGTGTCTCGTTGTAAAGACTGATGGGTAGAACACACTGCAAAAAGTGGTTCAAATAGCTGTTGCCAATCATATTGAGTCTCAATGGTCCATTGGGGTCATTCATGTCATTGGACGCCTTTTTGCTAGGTTCAGAGCCTTTACCTAACATCCCATGTGTCGACAGCACCATCAGTTGTTTTTTCTTCAGCCCCCTCCCCTCATCTCCGTGATAAAGGACTGGTATGCACATCTCCGGTGAAAAGTCAGCATCTGTCACTGCCCTTTGAGCTACCACGTGTTGTGGGTAAAGTGCTGTAAATCGAGTCCAAAATGTAGACAGAATTTTCTTCATGTCAGCAACTTCTGATACACCGACCAAATATTCCAAGTTGTCACATTCTACGACATAGCGAAACCAGTCCGTAAAGGTAACGTATGGGAAGTTCTTCTTGGAAGGCAAATCGGTCTTGGAAATCTTGACATCCAGGGATTGGCCAAACTTTTGGAACACATGGTGTGCCCCTTCCTCACTCCGTTTCAACTTGACCTTGGCCAATTTCTTCAGCCCCTTGGCCTTCACTCTTGTCACCCGTGCCTGTCGGATAGCATCTCTGCAAGAGGCCTCAGCAAGCCGGCAGGCTAAGCGTTCATCATCATGCAAGATGAGATGAGGAAAAATTAATAAGTATACATGCAGGCAAAAAATGTGACTTAGTGAATGAGATGGGAACCACAACAACTGATACTACTAGCTTAATGCTGATTCCAAAATCAACAAAGGAAAACCAAACAAGTTTGATCCATCTCTGAAACAATGCAAACTGTTCAAGTAATTGCCATGGGATGGGGAAAGACATGGAAAAACACAGCAAGACCTCGAGCCCTTCGCTCCACATTTTTCCCAGGACATGTTTATCCACACGGCAGCAGCGAATTGGAATGTGAATTGCGGTGCAAAACATCTTTCAAAAAGTCTCAGCGAATTCGCTTCATTTGATCTGCCCGAGCACCAACAACATAAACAAAATGAAACGGCTCTTCCGAGGATGGAGGACCTTCCCCCCCATACTTTTCATTTCTGCACTCCTTCTCTGACAAGTTGGCAGCGATCAAGGCTGCTTCCAGCATTTGGCATAGTCCCAAGTTTGTTGAGACATGCAACAAAGACATATGAGTATAATTGGCCTCTTTGTAAAAACTGAATCGCACAACCGGATTAGAAGTCAAACCCAGTTTGAAAACACACAACTTCCGACCCAAGCGGTCTCTGAAGCTATTGACTTGCGAAAGACATCTTTGAAGAACAGTGCCTGCAGTGGCTCTATTCCTGTGGCGGAAGGACAGATATGAAATTGAAATCCCATGTAGCAAGCAAACCTGATGTTGCTTCTCCAAATTTGTTTCAGTCTCAGGGCATTGCATACCCTCTGTACATGCAGGGGCCCCGCTCAGGTCGTCAATGTGTCTAATGCAAGCAGCTGTAGTTTCCATACCAGTCTCCTAATGTCACACCACCCTATCCATGCCAAACTAATATGGTGTAAAAAAAGGAAAACAATATAAAACAATTGTCAACATCTTATTACCATCTCCCCCCAACAAAAACAAAAAACATACCCAAAAAATAAGGGACCATTGAGAGTGTAGTGGGTGGACATGGAACAGATGGGACCATAGAGGACTTTGACAGAGAGCGGCGCTGCTTGTTGGGCTGGTTCATCTGTTTGACAGGCTTCCTAAGCCACATGAACTGAAATTGAACTGAATAAACAAAAACATATCATATGATTCATGTATATATAGTGGAATATGACGGTATAAAAGATATTCAATAAGATAGTCCACATGACAGAAATCAATACCCATTGTACCTACTATCCTATGAACAATGCATGTATAAATCGGGGGTGGCACTATGATTCAATTATTCCCTTCGGGTAGTCACATGAAAATTTTAATCATGGTGCGACTGTGCATCATACTGTTGTTTTCTCTGGAGCATGGTGGGCATCGGTTCTCCCCTGTATAAGGGCATTTGTAAGTCAGCAAATCTCTCAGCTCATCTTCAAAGATAAAAGAGCTAGACGACCGTTTGAGCACCATGGCTAGATAACATAGCTGCACAGGTGCTAATGCATATGGGAATTCTTGAGTTTAAAATGGCATGGCGCAATGTAACATGTTTTTTCAAATCAGACCCTGTATGTTGGTTCAACATGGAAGGCCCATGCCCACTAACTGGGGTTCCCAACACCATTGCCAACCATCCGTGCCAAGCCGTGCAATTCAGGTTCTGGACCTGGCATGGCATATGGCGTTGCATTTGGTGGCAAGGCGAGAATGGGGAGCACTCCGGTGAAGATATATGAGACCAATATAAATACACAAATTTGTGGGGAAAATGTACTATCATATTAATTATATATTCAACCATTGTTTTTGAAGATATGAATGGGGGTTGGGCAACATAGTATCCATATGTATCCATGGGATAACAAATGATCACCACAACAAGGGTAGGCGTTTGCAAGACCCCAGCTCCCCTAATAGTAAATACTCCCATTTGCGACCCCAAATTCATAGACAATGGATCATTTGTAATACAGTACCGAGGGGTCCAGAGATGTATTTAATATTAGGCATGGGTGCATCATGGGTGCATGGGAATGCAATTTTTCCCCAAAGATTGCTGCAATGCGCTTTGCGCCAAGATGTCCTACTCAAAGCATGCCTAAATCTGCACAACAAACGTGACCATTTCAGAATTGCTTTTGTTTTTTTTTGAGGGGATGACAGTATACAATGCATTCAAGTGTTGAAAATTGAAAGCAGACTCCTGGGCATGTCGGCGATTTGCCATCCAAATCAAAATTCGGAAACATACATTGGTTCCAGCCATAGAGTTTCATGGGCTGCACATCCACACACGTCTAGAAACATGTGGTTACCCAGCAGACCCAGCGACGATCTTTAAGATCCCTAAGCGCCATCCCACTCAGCTTCGGATTCTTGCTTCTTCTTCTTGAGCGATTTCTCCAATGCCCTTAGTTACGGGTTGATAAATCAGCTCCGAGCATGTTACATTACATCTCACACCTAGGCCAAGCCTGTGAAGTTGCAATATAACCCAATTACATTTATTATATATAGAAATAGGAACCCTTGAGTTTGTCATCATGTGCATTGGGCACATGCCACTTGCGCTTTCTGCAGGTGAGGGTCCTCGCTTGGACTTCAGCCGATGCAAGCGCCGATGCCCTGGGAAGATGCCACAGGGTGGCAAGGGGCAGCTGGCAGGGTCTTATCGGTTATATAGGGTATGGTCCTCAAAAAGATAATAACATGTCCAATCTTCATGAAATAACATGGGTGAGGACCCCATGGGGTGTATTACATTTCAACATGTTTTCGATTGAACAAATAGGTGATTTAATATAGGTGCATATATTATATATAGCAGTTATATCGATCTACAAACAGCCTCAAAAGTCCGGGGTTGATATATGGGCTCATCTTGTGGATCTATTCAACTCAGGGTCCCTGATTTGTGGGTTTGTAATAACCCGAGTTAATCAAGATTAAATATATATATATATACATGCACGTGATGTATATGCATGTATTTTTATATGCACAAACATGTATAAATATGTTTATTTGATGAACATATGATGCTTATTTACAGTTGCATCTACTTTACGGTAAATTATATATGCATATATACGTTTTAAGCCTATATGTGTGTTTTATGATATGATATGATATGATATGATATATATATACACATGCAGATATATATGCATGCATTTGTATAAACATGCATGCATATATATATATATATGTACGATGTTATTTGATGTAGCTGCATGCCGGGACACTTCTCCATGGCCTCACGCATAGTCACCTTGAGCTCCTTTGCGTTCCTGAGCACGGCAGAGGCCAAAAACTCAAAAGAATGCAGCCGGGTTGTTGATGTTGATATAGATAAAACACCTAATATATATACATATATATATACGAGAATAAGTTTTGGATGGGAACAACATATTATGTGGATAGTGGCTGACAGGTTGGGATGGGGCCAGGCATAAACTGGATCAGGGATGGTGTGTTGGTCAGACCACAATGGAATGGATGTGAATGCAAATAACCATTTTGAAAACACATATATTGAAATCAACCAGTCAACATACCGATGAACAACATTGAACAACATAATCTTCGCTAGGATTCTCCTCAGTGCGTGCTGTGGAACCCAGTGAAGATCTGACCGCTGCGAACTTGTCATAGGCGGTCTGTGCTGCCATGAGCTTTGACTCCAAGGCATCGATGGACCTGGGCGCATAGATGGGCCCTGAGCATTTGGTACAACCCCAGTTTGACTTTGTATGATGTCTTGTGTTTATTGTTGAACATGTGCTGCAAAAAGACGGGCAAAAAGAGAATAAACTTTTGTTTTCTAAGCACAGGGCTTCTTCACACGGCTCTTGTCTTCCCCATTGGCAAACGAATCCAACTTTGAAATCAAGTCCGTGATCTTTGACATTTTGGTCAACATCCCATCGGCGAATTTCTTTTCAACCTCCTCTTCCTTAGATAAATAACAATCCAAAGGTTTCACATGTAAAAAAAATAAAAAAATACACATGGTGTACATGATACAATGGTACTGGTAAACAAACAGTTAATTGAACGGATAAAGTTCCAGGATCTCCCTATTTTTCCATTCCCATATTTTTTTTTGAGCATGCATTCATTGGTTCACAAAAAGCATCCCCTTCGGCAGGCGTTTGCACTTTGCCATCATCCTCCGGAGCCTTCTCAGAGGTGGGCTCATGCCAATCATTGGCCAGCTCCACCTCATCACCTGCCTGGACACCATGGGCCCGGAATCAAGGGTATATATATAGGTTAATTAATAAAATTTGATAAACAAATATGGGGTCCTATAGGGTCCTGAATGCTCTTGTATAAAAGCCATTGAATTCATCCACCATGGGAAAATATATGTAGAAAAAACAAGCATGAAAGTTTTGCTACAAAAAAAACAATCTAAGGGAGTAAACACCATACAATAACAACTGTGCTAGACCTTTGCAGCCATAGCTACCTTCAAACTGAGAAATATGGTGGTTGAATTTGGATATATACATATAAAATCATACATGCAAATATGATTTATTGTAAATGTTTATTGCATAACATACACCTTTTTATTTGCATCTCCTCACCCCAAAAATCCCCAAATGATATCATTACATGTTTCTAAGATAGCCATTTCTGCAAACTCCGACTGAACAATTTCCAGAGATAATAACTGCAGGTAGTGGCAATATCCCACTTAGATGACACACCATTAAGCCACTGGCCTCCTCTGTCGAAGTTCTCCTTTCCAGTTCAGTACGAACCTTCTTCGTGGACTCCTTGTCAGAGTATTCGATGAAGTAGCGGAAGATCTTGCTGCTGTACTTGTCATTCCTGACCCAACAACTGCCCAAGATCACATTTGATTAAGTATGATCACATCCCTATATATGCATGTGTATTTATATATATATATATGTTAACATAATATATATGTATTATAAGTTCATGATCATGTAAAGGAAGTTGTCAGAAGGCAATATATTTTTACGCAACAGTTCCCATGAAAGATATGCAGAAGGGATCAAACAGTGCAGCCAAAGCGACTTTACCAAGCCATGCTTCTTGCAGTAGGCGACCACCTCCTTGATGTACGCCCTTAGCCACATTCCAATGGAAAAGTCCAAGGCCCCTGATATCATCTGGAAATATAGCCACCCCTATGGCCCTATGGTGTCTTACGGGATTTTACGAGAAAGAGGGAAAGGGATGCTAATATGTTCAAATTATGTATATAAATAATTCTAAATGTATTATATTTTTACCAGATATTCATGAACCATGTATGTAAAGATAATGTGGATTTTTTTATTCCGAAGTATTGCTTGGGGGATTCCCCACGGCTAGCCAATGAGCTCTGGTATGCTCTGGCATCTGGACATGCTGAAGAAGAGGCGCCAGGAAATAAACCCACTGGAGATGATGGCAGCAGGGGATGAAGCACAAGGGGATCCGCTGCGTGTTGGTTGTGGTGGACAGATCAACCAGCTGGATTCTTGACAATCTCAGGAAGGAGACCAAGGTGAAAAGAAAGATCATCAACTGTGCTTTGCACCTATATGGCCTACCAGAAGCCGTTCGCCTATGCATTGCAATTGCATGGACATTGGTCACCACAAATGGGAATGGCCCACCAGGTAATGAATGCACCAAAGAATCAATAAACAGATTCTAGCATGGAACAGTAAATATACCCCAATATTACCCTTTATTTCACTTACCAAACCTTATTTGTTTCAAACAATTTTTTAATGTGACAGTGTCACAACTGCTTGTTTTGAACAAAATTTCAAATCGTTTTGGGACATCACATGAAATTAATGCACCCAAGCATCGAACTCCATTTCAACTCCGTTTTCATCAGCTCCTGCGTGAACCAACCTTTGAGAACCTCTTGAGCATCTTCTTTGCGATTCTCAATCATCTTGGTCACCTTGCGCACAAAGACCTCCTGCGGGAGATGGTAAGATATATGTTGAACAGCTAAGTGGTTTGTGGCCATCCATGTTGAACCGGCTATTTTGCCTTTGCAATAAGTTTTGACATTGCATGCATGTTTGCTACAAATACAATTCAAACATGTTCCAGTTAAAAGAACCAACAGCACGACGAAGCCATGGGTTGGATTGTTTTCCCGACGATGGATTTTACCCCTGGTGAAAATCACTCCTTGTCGAACTCGGTCTGTTCAAGAAGGGCCCTCAACTCGTCCCGGGGTTTACCAACCTGTAACCATTGCTGGTGCACAGACTCCGGCACGTTCAGTTTGCCACTGGGTTTCTTCTCGCACAGCCGGCGCAAACGTGCGTCCACCATCTTGTACCGATTCAGGGCCGACTGCATGTCAGCGTCATCCTCGTTGCCCTGCAAGCAGGCAATGGGGAAGGGCCTGAATTTTGTTTGGTATCCTTGGATTTCCTAGGGGGGCATTCTTAATTATTCTGAATTAATTGAAGGAGGAGTTGGGCAATCAGACATAGGATTGAATGGTGTTGCCAAATGGGGTTATATATATATAAGATATACGATGCATATCTTACAGATTCCAATTATATATAGTAGAGCCAAAGTTTGAAAAGTAGCAGCAATACAACTCTACAATTCATTCTTGATAATGACCCATTCAAAATCACAACATCTTTTTTGGGCCCATGGGGATGCAAAAACATATTGTAACATCACAAGTGTGCTCTGCCTCTGCAGAAGCCGGGGTTTCAGCGGAAGAGGATGGAGTGGTCTTTGCATTTGACGTAGGGGTCTTTGGAGCTGCTGATGCAGGGGTAGCTGGCTTGGTCGCACCACCCGGGGGCGGGGTGGCAGAACCCTTGGACTGCTTCTGCAAAGTCTTGATCAAAGCCCTGGCTTGGTCCAACTGTTGCTGAAGGTCATTCACGGATGGCTCCTGCAAACGGGAGAAACCAAAGGGTTCCTATAGCTCCATTCATATAACGTCAGGACCATATTAACTTATTGATCTGGCTCCAACAACAAAAAGCCCTGGCTGCATGGACAATGGTTTACTGTTAAAATGTGTTATAATCACCGCCATACTGGTTTGGATGTTCCTTCAACTTCCACATCTGACAAAATCAAATGGTGATTTGATATGATTTGGTATACTTCTTGATCAGGGATGATGAAACACAATGATGAGTTCTCAAACTCTAAATCAGAACTTTTATGCATGCATATATACCCAATCCTCCGAAGTAGAGCCACTCCCACCATCGGGGCTTCCAGTCTCCGGTGCAGGCTTTGACTTCGCAGCAGCCTTTGTGCTGCACTTCGCCTGCAGCGTGGGCAGATTGGCCAAGGAGGACAGGTAGAGGCTGATAATGGCATAAGTGACATTCGACCTGACATAAAAATATTGTTTGGTACCATTTGTATTTTCATTTGAAAAACCATCTTGCAATGGGCCCATCTAGAAAGCAAGGCCTCTTACTGTAAGACTCACAATTTCAGCAGTTTAAGATACAGTATATATATATAGAAATTAAGTGTGTGTTTATGTTTGTTTTGCAAATAGGTTTTAGGGTGCAATCCTATTTGCAACCCGTATAGTCTAATATGATCCGTGTTTCCATGACCTGAACACATCACATTTCAAGCAGCCAGCAGTGGATATGATTGCATCTATCAAGTCTGAACCATTGCATCTTTTGTGAGCTAGGGTCAGCATTATTGTATCGGATTTACATGATATCTTAAAACCATTTAAAACCCAATGACAGGAACAATTGTTTTAATTGGAAAGTAACATATTTGTTGATCAATTGACCTAAGCATTGCAACTACAGGGAAAACCATAGCGGTTGATACAACTTGTTTAAAAGCACCTTCGCATCACCTTCTTTTCGGGTCTTCTTGGTCGCAACTGTAGACTTGACTGGAGTGTTCTTGGTTGACTTTGGAGGCGATCGCTTCATAGCACTGGATGCTCGATCCTTTTCATCCTAAGATAGCCAGGCAAACATACAGCGATTTGCTAAATGTTTCTCATTGGAGGTGAGATGTCGCATTGTCAATCATAGGTTTTGCTGACACTACAATGCGGTCAATAGGAAAATTGGTAATGCACCAACATCCCAAGCTAAATGGGTTCCAGTTATCATGCTTTGAATTCCAACAAGATGCCGGTGAAGCATTGTCTTCAGATCCGTCCATGTAGCTAAGAGCTTCAAGCTCACGCTGCATTTCCTGTTGCTCGCACACATTCATGGTTATGATATATATCGATATACAGGTGAGAAAGCAATATCTTGGGGAGCCATGCACCCTAAATTAACTTTAATACAATATTCGGTGCGTTTGTTTTCTATTCCAAAATGGGTCCAAAAGAAATCCTAATTGGCTACACCCTAGGACACTTCATCAAGTGGACCAGCACCACCGACAACCTTCAAACATAGCCCCACTCCTCCTTCTGACGTTCCAGATCTTTGATGCGATCCTCTTTGCTTTGGGGTTCACCCTTCACCTTCAAGAGATGGGCGTTCCCCGAGGCCAACGATCCACAGCTTCGAATTTTCGACATAGGCACAGCGAGAAGGATAGAAAACTGGTAAGGGAACCTGGGTTCCTGGACACCTAAGACCGTCTTATTGCACGGGATGGTTTGAACCACAAGTGGCATATGTCACAAACCATATGTCAACACTTCAAATTGCACATGGTGGAAATGGGATCAAAGCTATTGCAAGAAGCAGTTGCACATTTTGTAATAGAAATGTTCTGGCACATGCACTGCGTATCCTGTAATTTTCCACATGATGAAACTGAGCTACACCATTCGCCTGGAACACACGGTTTTGACCAGGTGGGCTCACCATTCCAATCAAAAACTTGCAAAATCAGTAAAAATCACCCAAAACCCCGGATCCCAAATTACGGCTAGAATACGTAATATTACGTAGAATTCTACGGGTAAATACGGGTTGTCTACGGGGGTTTTATGGGTTTTCTACGCTCTACGCCTAAAATATGGGTTATCCACGGGTGAAAACCCGGTTTTTGGATCCACCAGTCAACCCTGTGTAAAAATCAGGCGGTACTGCCCAAATTTGTCGCACCATTGCTCAGCCATGTTTGGCAAATGAGCAAAATGTTTAATTGTTTTGAGGAAGCAAGTGTGGCCTCCATTCTGGAGGGATTTTGAGGGAGCAGTTGCCCCGAATGTAGGACAACAGCTCTGGGACCCCAGCATCTTCCCACATGTCCTCGAAAGGTTGGGCGATGAAATCCGCCAACGGGTCAAATCCGCCAGGCATCTCTGGGAAAGCCTTTTGGCATTGCGCCTGCAGCTGGGGCAGGATTCTCAGCACTCGAAGTCCAAAGCGGTACGGATAGTGCCTCAATTGGCTCTTCACATAGACTGTGGACTGGGGTTCACCGTATCAACTGGGCTTACCATTGAAGATCCAAAAAATAACACATCTTACATCTTACTACTAGGGAAAATAAAGAACCATATGCATGTAATATATATAATTATACATAATTTATATATAACTGCATGAAGACCCATGTACATGACACTACATGTTCACCAACATTTGCATGATCACCATGGGTCACCCCAGCTGATACTTTCCAAAATGAATAGTTGATTGTTTCCCATACTTGTGTTTAATCATTGAGGTGGGGGTTGTCCACTATTTGACACCGATTCAAACTGATACTACCAGAACGATAAACTATTTCCTCATTGAACCATCCAATTATCTTTGGTTGGGTCAAGTTTGACAAACACCGTTTCCATTCAACACCTTTTTGATCTAATACTGTGGCCCTTCAAAGGACAGGAATGAACCTAAATATGATTGAAGCCAGGGTGAACACAGACCCTTCACAGCTGACCCAAGAACCTTCCCCTCCCACAACCCATCACATCCAGACTTGTAAGATCTTGTAAGTACAGGTACTGGCTCGCTTTGAGTTGAACTTTCTCCCCAGTAAATTGTTTCTTGCCAGTTTTCTTGTTGATGCTGACCTTTGCAGTCTTGTTCTTCTTGTAGTTGCTTGATTCCAAGTCGAACTGGCGAAGCTTACCCAAGTCCAGCAATCTAATGGCTCGGCTGTTTGACCAACACACGTGCCTCTTAGGTGTCGGGCTCTTGTAATGAGCCATCCACCAGCGGGCGGCCCATGCCTCGGCAGGCAATGGTTGGGTGAGCAACCACACCGGTGACATATGTACATTTGGGCATACTATTATATATATATATGCATAAAATATTACATGCAAAGTATTAAAGGTAATTGTGTAATACATATACATATATAAATTATATATATATAGTATATCTGCATGTATATCTATATATATACATATCCATATTGCATATATATAAGCTATATATATATTGCATTTATATATATATGCATACGTATATATTTGTCTAAATACAATCCCTGGGTATAAAGTATTGAAACAACTATTTTAAAAGTCTTACAATTGCAAATACGGTGAATTTACATCGTTGATGTTTTACTTATATATATAAGGTGACCAAACAACAGATGTATAGGGTGGTGCAGTAGGACCCACTAAAAGCAATTTCGATCACCACAACAGGTTTGAACAGGTTCAAAAGAGCTCGTACATGGAAACTTGACATCAAAACCAAAAATACATTTGTACCAAGAAATAAAGTAGCTAAATCAACTGTTTAGACATTGGTATTGGACAATTTCCACTGGGGTCAAACCACCAAACACAAATCTACACGATCTATTTATTTGTTGTAATTGTGCTGTTATTTCAGCATGTGAAAAAGATACTCCCGCAGTGAAAACCCAATTAAATTTTGGGTTTCCCAAGTCCACATATATGTATATATAGAATATAAAACCATGTCTATTAGTTTACATCTATTAGTTTACATCTCCACCCATCCCAGGCAACCTGCGGGGGTTCACCTAGCAAGGGCTGCAGTCGTATGGGAATCTATGTCAAGTAGAAATAAATTTGTAAGCATGGGTTCATGAAGAAGCTAGGTCACTTGAATTAACCACACCCATATCCAGGTCAATGTATATTTGCAAAAACAAATTGGGCGAACCCCAACCATATTCATTTTTTTTGCAATGCAGTGACATGTAGGGTTTATAACCTTTACAACATCCCCGGCGTATACTAAGATAATCATCTTGTATGAACGAGTTGTGAACCATGAGTTTAAGATCATCTATGGCATCCCAAAAAAGTCTATTTGTGAGAAGGTTCCAATACTTAATGTATCCCCCAAATGAGGATACCAGAATGGACTTTGTTGGCCCCTGAGATCTCTTATTTTTTTGTGGTTTTCACATGTTCCCCTGATCACTGGTTTTGTGAAGTGGCAACACCAGAGACAAACCCTGCATGGGCAAAACATATTTATAATCATATATATATACCAATGCAGCACTGAAAGTCGGAACTGTGTTTCATAATATATATATATACATTTTATAATATATATATATACATTTTATAATATATATATGTATATGTATATGCATTATAATTTAGAATATATATATATATATATATGCATGTGCATGCAAACATTAAAAAAACTATATATATATATACTTAATACAACGGGTGGTTCCCTCTATATGTGTTGGTGATTTTCTGCAGTGGAAAATTTAAAACCTTGGAAAACAGCATTGCAGATATTGAAGAGTCCCTTCCCCTATCAACTTCCATTACTGCAGGGTCCCTTAAGCTTGTTTCGTATGCATGGGCACCCAGGGTTCCCCTATTTGATGCAAAATAGGTTACATATATATATATGATATATATTATGTAATGAAACTCCATCCTGTGTCATTTTTGCAAATGCCTTTTTTTGATTCGTTGAGGTACCTATAAAACCATGGAGAAAAAATACTCACATAACTGGCTCTATAGAAACCAATTCAGCCCCTTTTTGGGCCATGTAACCCTGAAGTGACTGAATGCCTCCATTATCCGTGGGTGGAACCGGAGCAGGGAAAGGTGTGGTTGCTCCACTGCCCAACATCCAGACATTGCCTCAATGAGGTACAAGGCCAAAGCCAGCCTTGGGCGACAGATGGGCGAAGGCTGGCCCACCTTGCTGACTTAACTTTGGGCATTTTTTCGGTCACCAAAAATCACAACCAATCCCAAATAACTACCACAATTGTATCCATGAGACCGTGCTGCCATTAAATTGGCTGAGGCCACATACTCCCTGTCTTCCCGCCCTAATGGAGTACATGTTGTACGACCTGATGTAGCCATATTGATCACCGTCCAAGAGCTGCAAACAATGCCAGCCAAAGCTGTAAAACACCCGGGCTTTGCATTGAGGATAGTTGCAAGCACCAACCTGGGATATTGCTAAGTCAGTCTAGTATAAAGCCAGACAGATTGCTTTATACATACTAAATTTGATTTTCAGAAATTCATACCAACAAAGAATTATCCAACTATATAGGCTCAACTGATACAAATACCCAAGAAACATAAATCCCGAATTGGTCAGGACATCAAAGTGGTTGGAACGCTTCGGGTGCTCGGGATCTGGCTGGTAGTAATTGATATCTAGAGCTGCGACATCACGGCCACTTTTGCGAACCATAGTTGAAGCCATCGCTTGCCCCGCCCACAGTTCAATGAAATCATATGACTGCAGGGAACAACCATTGGGTTGATCAAATACCAGAACTCAGTTGAGGGTGCACATTCCATGCATGCACTATATATATAAAATAGCATGCATGTATTAGTTATATGTTTCTTTCCATGGCCAAGAAATTCAAATGTGATAAGATTCAGAAGCTTGAAATATATTCCTTATATGAACTAAACTAGCCCAAATAATCCACCAGCCTGCGACAGGGTCGTCACATTTGATGACCAAAGCAGCATCAATACCAACGAAATCAGCACCTGCAGCGGATGCGAATCAGTGCAAATCAATAATACTTGAACTGGCAACACATTGTTATATATGGATCGCATTTTATCAGATTTCTCAAAACCCATAGCTGAGGGAATTCAATTAGATACTTACAACAGGTGATGATAAGTATTCATAAACAGAAACTCAAAGTGGATATATGTGGATATGGAATCAGAAGCTCGAGCATGTTAAGGCACAGGAGAAGAGTTGAACCGTCTATGCCACAGTGATATGTCTTAAGATCTTGGAGGGGGGCTTCTATTCCAAAAAAGAAGAACAAAAAACCCCAAATTTCATAGTACCAATTTAATCAATGTCCCTCAAAAGAATGGCACCTTGGGTGCTCCAACACACCGAAGTCTCCAGACCAGTTTGGGAAGGGTCATTTGGTTCGCATGCACCATTGCGAAGCTCAGGGCACTCCAGTGGGCCAATCCAACCCAGATATGAAACAGAGCCAAGACTTGGGACGGGCAATAACACCCATCAAGTTGCATGCATCCGATTCCAAGAATGTAGCCATGGCAGTCTATGCTGTTGGACCCCATAAAGTGACAATTGATTCCATTGAGAGTCCCATGTTGCAATTAAACATATTCACCTCTTCCTATGGTAATAATAAGTCATGTAGACTGTAGAAGTTGTTTGTTTTCACTAAGAAGTATATCGATATGTGTCATATACCTGTTCCTGCATATCAGTTTGCAGGTCATTTATGATGGCATATATATATATGCATATATGCGTGCATATACATATATATATATGTATATATATATATGCATGTATGGAAGAAACTGGGAATCATAAGCCCTTCACCTCAATATTTTTGGGGCCCAAAAAATCTTTTAACTTTGCCAGCTCGGCCATCCTCATCATCATCCAAACATCCTTCTAGACGGACTTGCCAGGCTTTGCGTTTGCCTCGCATCGCTGCATCTAGCCTCAGGACCGGTCAGCCGGGGACCAGGAAGGAGCAGTGGAATTGGGGAATCACGGAAACCTTGGTTCAACCATTAGCTTCCTTGGGTTCAAGCATATTTCCCAAAAAAGAAATGGGAAACCTTACCATGAATTTTTGGTGTTTCTGTGGTGGGTGCATGTTCCACATGATTTCAAATGGCTGCATTTTTTTTCCCCAGATTCTTCAAGTTGCAGGTTAATGGCTCGCCTGCAAGGGTCAATTGCCCTGGCCAACCCAAGCTTCCACATCGCACACAATTGATGGCCAGTGCACAAGTTGCAGTTACATATATATAGTTTAAGGGCTGGAAATGGATTATCAAAAAGTCATATATATATATAATATATATATATATATATACCCTATATAGAAACATGTTTTCTTTTTTTACCTAAGGTTCTCGCGGTGTCGGGGCCCACCATTGTGCACTTAGCCCACTAACAATTGGTGACACCCTCACAACCTAGATAGAGGCCAGCATTCAAGCCATGCCCGCAACAAAATCCGAAGATATATCAGTGGATTGTGGATGTTCACACCCTTTGCTTCAAGCATGCCCCGCGTAGTGTGTCCCCAAAACAATCAATTACAATTTGTAAGTATCACTAGTGTTTGGCAAAGAAACCAGAGGAAAGCAGTGATATAGGTTTAATGGCATCGACACCGATCTACGGGGGAATAAAGAGATACTTCTCCAAAATGCTTCAAATCAGCTATGAATGCTCAGTAGTCATCCAAGGTTTTTCCCTGGGCATGAGCAATCGCAACAGCTTTCACAAGATCTTGCATCGCCTGCTTGTAAGTGTCAATCTCCTCCGAATCCATAGCTTTGCACCGGGAAGACGGCTTGTCCCCCCCGGCATAGGTGATCTGAGCACAGCGGGAATTAAAATCAAACCATTGTTGGAACATGTATTTTAGGTGAAAAATACATTTGGATATATTTGGATATATTTGCAACTTTCCCTGGGAAACCCTTTGCTAAAGCACTGCTGGTTCCAACCTATTTAAAGGACGAACTTCTACTTTCATTGATTCTCCCCTCAGAGTTGGGACTTGGGATTGCAATAATAATTTGTCAAGTGGTTGATTCTGAACAGGGACAAACTGGGGCTGCATGAAAAATAACATATCATTTTGGTGTCGCAAAGATGTTTCGGTATTCCACACCTGGATGAATGCACAGCTTGAAACCTAAACCTATGTATATATATATATATATAAATGTACATGCACGCATATGTGCTACATTCAAATATGTTCATCACACACATGCATATATATATATATGCATATATATATAAAACTAATTTAAGATATACATATACGTTAATGCATATGTAGATAGAGATCGATATGTTTAATCTTGCATGTGCATGAGTCTATGAGCTTAAAATTGTCCTTCTAAAAGATGACAGATAGCTTGAACCATAATATGCATTCACATACATGTATGCATGCATGTACACATATTCACTGTTGTAAACAACAAAGGTGCAAACACATATGTTAAAAATAAGAAAGGTGAATTGGTCGAAGCTATGAATTTTGGGGCCAGACGTGCACATGGGTCGTATTTGATTAAAAAAATGCATACTGGATTGGATGATATGTGTTGCCCATTAATATTATAATGCAGTCTGAAAAATGTTGAAAACCATGCATGCATATATCTAAAAACAACTTTGTTTCATTCTTACGAAGCAAATAAGACCCCCACCATCATATACGCAGCCGCCAATGGAATCCCAATGTGGGTGCACGAAGGGCCCCCGGAAAAACTCAAGACATGAACCTTCTTGCCCGTGCCCTTGCTCTGAAGTAGGCCCACACGCTTTGTGAGGTGGTACATGCTGAACCCCCAATGGTGGAACTTCTCCAAGGGTTCTCGTTCTCCAACCTGGGTGGCTTCAAAAAGCTTGGTGGCATGGTGCCAGGAGGGAGCGTCCAATTTGGCTTCCACCAAGACTCCCTCTGCCCAGCGTTGCTGGCGTTCCGTGGGTGGCTTCACATCGGGTACCTTCTCGGCCTTCTCGGCCTTCTCGGCCTTCTCGGATTCAACCTCGGGCTGGGTGTTGACAGGCTCTGGCTGACTGGTCTCCGTGCTCTTGGACTTGGGAGTCTTTGGTCCACGCTTGGCCCTTTTGGCCTTCTTTGGCTTCACTGGTGGTGATGGCTTGTCAACGTTGGGGTCTTTCTCCAAATTCTTTGTGGGGGTAATGTCATCTTCTGTGTCATTGAAAAGTTTGCGGCGCTCTGGAGTGCACATAACTGCCCGCTTAGATGATGATGAGCGGGCCCCATCAACATCCATGGCATGATCATCAGGAATTTCAGGGACATGTTCAGGTTCATGGGCCTGGTCCTCAACCTTCTTTGGCTTCCTCCCTCGTCCCCGTCCACCACGCCCACGACCTCCACCCCTGGCTCGTCCTTGGTTGGTCTGGTTCTCTTCCTTCTCCTGGGCTTTGAGTGCAAGCTGCTCTCGGCGAGTGAGCACCTCACAGACAGGGCGTTGCTGCATATTTTGGATTTTCTCCCAACATACATGGATATGATATGCATGGTTTCATGCATATGTTTTTTATATTATAAGATATATATGGAGAAAAAAACAATATGTTAATTTGTATTGACATACTGATTTTGTGCATCAGTTTGCTTATATAATAATATCTGCATGTTGTGTATATATATATATACAATATATATGATATACTTTTGTGCATGTGTATTTGCATGTTTGCATGTAGGTGCATGTACATTTGAAAAGAGTCATTCAAATTTAAATTTACACATAGTTGATCTGGTTGGGAAACTTTACCCAAAACGAAGTTTAAACAAATGAGGCAAACCTCTAGAGCCAACATGTGTTGTCCATATCTTTTGAGTTAAAAGCCAGCAGTGGTTAGCACGTAAAGTTAAGTGCATGACCTCTTGATTGGGATCCACCATATTTAAAATCATAGAAAAAACACATAGTTTGCATGTACTTTCTAAACCTGGCCTTTGGGGCGGGATTCTCTTCAGGGTCCGTGTTCAAATCCTTCTTCTTGGCCTTACTCTTGGTCAGTCCACTAGCCAAGTCATCAGGTGAATCGTCATCCACAACCCCAGCTTCTTTTTGAAGAAGCACCCCAACTCCCACAGGTAGGTCACCTTCATCTCCAAGGTTCATGGGCAAGGTCTGATCAGAATCAGAACCAAAGGGGAGAGAATCCGTCACGACCCACGTCTTGTCAGCGGGAGTGTCAGAGGAACCAGAAGACTCAACGTGGCCCACAGGAGCAGACCTTGGCGATTGCAAAATTGAGCATTCTTCATACTTGGCCTCAAAAACATGGCATGCACACTTTAAAAAAACACAAGTAACTTTGTTTCAAATCTTGCTTGCTCATGCTTGCTCGGGATGCTATGGGTTTTCTGGATCACCAGGCCATAGATCGGGTTAGGACAATACACATGAAACTCAATCACATGTATCCTTGCAAGTACGCCTGCAAAACTTGTACAAACAAAAACATATAATATTATAATAGATTATCTTAGCATAATTTCCAAATACACGTCAATAAGGGGCCCACTAGTACTAAGCCAAGGTTTGAAGGTTTTTTTAACTATTGAGGAATTAACATACTATAATATCATATTAAACACATCTTGTACATTGATAAGTGTCATCATGATAGGAAAAACATGGAAAAACCGGGGCCCCTGCAACTCC